GAATGGAATTAGAACGGCATGGGGGCGCCCATTCCGTAACACTGCTTCGCATGTCGGAGGAAAAAAAAGCGGTCGGGTATGGTTACGTGACTTCCGGCCATGAGCTTCTGTGCTCATGTCTCGCTTCAAACAGCTGGTTTTTTCTTGTTTTTTGCTAAATATATACGCGACTCCGCAGCAAAATACTGACTGGCAAAATACTGACAAACAATAAAAATCTTTTTTGGTGGTGTCACTGTCCCTTTAAGACGTCTCGCGTAAGTCGACAGACGACGTACGAATCATCCTGGTCACGTCACGGAATTCCGCGCGAAAACAAAATAGAAATACTCCCAGATGTATATCGAAGAATCACGGAGCCAAAATCTTGAAACGGCACGCTACATCGCAACAAGCCGAGCGGTACAGGAATAAGGGCTGCCGTGCAGTTTTCTTGATCCTGGGTGTTTTTCGTTCCGGTGCATCGCTCGCCTCTTACCTGGCTCAGACAAATACCGAACTGTGGCCCGTCTTCATATGTTTCACCACCACAACGACTGTATATTCCCTTGTTTGTTTGTTTTGTTTGTTTTCTAAGGAGTTTAAAACTAGGAAGTAATGAAACGTCATAACACGCGGTTACAAAAGAAATCGCAAAACAATTACCAAACAAAATTTCTTTTTGTCGTTGCTCGCGGTCGAGCTAGAGGATTTTCCGCAAGATGCAACTCTAGGCTTGTTACAAAACAACTATCCTTCTGCTGCCAATACGAAAAAATGGCCCTTGCCATTACCAACGTTATGTTGGGTCGGTGTCCGATAGCGCTCTTCCTTTTCGAAGCCTATATCCGAAAATTGGATGACGAAAAGCGGGATCACGCACGGCAACTCGGGAACCAAGCAACGCGAGCTTCTTCGGCGCGCTTCTCCGTACAAAAAGGACACAAATAAAACTGATGAACGAAATTGTGTTGGTGTCCGCTTTGCTGTAAGATAAAAGACCGCTTGACGAAGAGCAGGACAGCGCGTGACATTTCTTTAGGATTACTATAGTTCGTCCGACAAACCAGGAACGACAAAAAAGATAATTTACAGCACATAAAAAAAAAAAAATATGAAGAAAGAAGTTGTATACCAGGTTGTTTGTTGGCCACAGAAAAGATAACCTATCCAGTCGGGCGCGCTTGGAGGTGAAACAAACACACGCTACAAGGACACAGCCCCGGCAGTAAGATAGAACATAGAAAAAACCTGTAGCCACAGCCACATTTGCGCACGCGTAAAACGCAACGCCTCGACGACATACAACCGACGTACTAATTTCAGGCGCGACAGACAAATCACCGGAGTCCACACAATGAGGCTTATTGTTAAAGTGAAATCTATAGAACCCTTTACGTACATGTCCCCGAGTCCTTGTCAGCGCAGAAATGAACTACGGATCGCCGACGAATGCTCAGTTTCCGCCCAATTGTAGCGCTATATGGGTCCGGACCAGACGACCAAGTTTCAGAGCGTGCCGTTATCTAATTCAAAAGTTATCGTCGATATTCGAAAAGTCTCGATGGCAAAACGGCGGTCGACGAAGCCCGCGCATTCTAGGAGCTGAATGGCGTCAGTTTTCCGGGAACGTTTCAACTTCCTATCCAGTCACGGTCGTATCGACAATTGTCAATAGATATTCGAGTCTCTTTCAACCGAGCTCCATGGAGTATACAGACAATAGAAACGCTATAAAATTTCCATCGACGCGTCTCAATAGACTTCCTGTTACAACATTTCCATAGAATTTCTATAGGATGCAACGCATCCTATAGAAATAGGATGCAACGCGGAGAAGCGACATCACCACAGTTGAAACCTTCTTGCAAAGGCTGCTTTTTTTCGACTGTGTCAGATAATTATCGCTTCTTGCGGTAGTTTATAGTTGGAGACACAGTTTACCAACCCTTAGAAACCATGTTTCGTACAAATTATTGGACAATAAAAAAGCAGCGTACTTGTAATCTTTTTGTCTTTTAAGGTGGTCCTCGTTCAAACGATTCCCGTTCCAGTGTTGGGTATATATAGCGATGGAGTAGTCAACACTACTAAATTACTATAGTGTTATGAGTGCTCCGCGGCGTGTGAATTTGTGATGTCTGCGTAGTGAACAATGCAAGTGGCCAGGGCATGTCTCCATCGATGTGTTGTGACAAACTCAACAATTCACGTTGAGAATTTTTTTTTTCGCGGAAAACTGCCCAATAGCTTAGAAAAATGGGACAGAAGCGTTGCTAGAATCTCTCTGCTTTCTATACAGCTTCTATCCAATCTCTATGCCCCGAATTGCATAGAAAGTCCGCAGAAACAGCAGCCAAACAACTATAGACAGAAGGTAGAAAAGATAATACATTGTCTTTAGAATTTCTAAAGCCTCAACACACTATTTTCTTAATGAAAATTCTGTATAGAGTGGATGAGTGTTTTTGTAAGGGTACACATTAGTTTGAAAAGCAAACTGTTCCGAGGAAAACAAAATGGTCGCTCTACCGAAAATGCTAATAACTGACGGAAAAAGAGCACGGTATTTTTTTATATTCCCCATTATTATAATAGGCGAAGAGCATTCAAACTAAGGCATCACTTCTGAATAACTGTGTGTATATATATATATAAATATATTTTTTTTTTTTCCTGGGTTTTACGCTTTTATTTGTAATTCTCTAAATACTCCATTGTTCTCCCTGCTGATTTCGGGTCCCTCCTACAAGCACCGTCGTTGGTTTGCCAGGCGGCGCCGTGCAAGGTTTAAAATTTATCTGTACAACAACATTATACTAAAATATTACATTTCGAGATTAGCTGTAACGGCCACGCGTCACTTTAAATTTGAGCCAATGTAGGGCGGTAACCCTCTCCTTCGACCAGCAAGTAACGAGTTAGTTATGAAGTAACTTTTCTCGCTAATGCCCCACTAGAGCGACAAACAGAACCAACCGGCACCAACAAGCCAGAAACGCGTACAGCATACACGCGAAGGTATATTTGACTGACCTGCAATCATTCGTGCTTATATCCCAAGCACCGACAGATTGCATGCCTACCAAAGGTACCATCGCGTGCACGCTGCACGTGTTTCTGGCTTGTCGCTGTCGGTTGGTTATGTTTGTCGCTCTAGTGGGACTCGGGCATAACGCGTATACTGTCGAGACCAGTTATAACGAAGTCGGTTATAACGAAATAGCGGCTACAGCGAAGCGATCACGATTTCCCATTCCCTTTTGCACTTCGTTATAACCGAAATCGGTTATAACGAAATAGCGGATATACCGAAGTAATTTCAGATTCCCGTTGACTTCGTTATAAACCGGTATCGACAGTATATAAAAAGTGAAGACTTGGGACAGACATTCTGGTCTAAAACGGAGGAAGCTTGACGCGATTTAGAAAGGCAAAATGAATAGGTAAAAGGTTGGGATAGTCAAAGTAATGTCCTTATCAATAAAAAAGAAATGCACCAGCTCACTTGCGTTCTTACGCCCTGTTCAAAAATGATGTGTGGACCGCATTACTATGTAACAGGGTAGTCTACTTTGGAATGGTACCGTAACAAGCACAAGCACACACAGAGCGATCATTGACGAGTTATAGAGGCTTTGTTGCAGCAGCTGCGCGTGGACAGCCGCCATAACCGGCCTTCAGTTTTTGTTTCCTCCTATTCCGCTCGGTTCACTTCATCATTACCAAAGCAGGCCTGGTTACTGCCTCATGAGATTCTATTGTGTTCTTCTCCCTTGCATTGAACTTTGGGGAAACTCGTCAACGCCGGTTTCAGTGGCTCGGTATCTCGGTAAGACAAGAGAAGGTCAGCAACGGAGGCTGTAATCTGGGGCGTGAGCAGAGCGTCTATACCCTGTTGCGTGTGAAGAGCAGGACAAGATCCTCCCGCAAGAAATTGCGAAAGGATCTTGTCCTGCAAAAGAAATTGGAAATTCTATAGAAATTCTATAGCGCGAACCCTGTAAAGGAGGCGAGTCCACTCGCCTCCTCTCCAGCGTTCACTACGCTAAAGTGGAAACAGCGGAGGACTTCGAGGAAGGGGCTTGTCCTGCTGCTCTTAACACGCAACATGGTATAGGGCTTGTTACTGGTCGTCGTGTCTCCGTCGTTATCGTATGTATGGTATCATTAACGAGATAAATGGTTCACAATAGACGAAGACCTGAGGAGAGACACTGACCTCAAAAAAACGCCTGCACACACACACACACAAAAAAAAAACTTTGAGTTTTTTTTTTTTTTTTTTTGCAAAACACGAGACAATTAATCACTGCGAACAATACTAGGATCCCAGCTAATGGCAAAGCTCAGAATATAATTAACATTTCAAAAACAAAGCGCGATGTGCGCAGGAACCATGACATCTGACATCTCGCTGTCCCCGCGCACATTGAAATTAATAATACTAATAATAATTCTTAGATTTAATTATATTCTGAACATTGTCATTGCCTTGGATCCTTCCATTTTTGACCGTGATTGGCTCTCTCCGTGTTCTACAGGAAAGTGGACACATACGTTTTCAAGAGTGTGCTCCCAAAAATAATGTTTTCTGGATGGAAGCCCTCGTTTTTCTCACAGCATTCGAAGTCAGGTCCGCTAAGCGGTGTCCGCGCATTCTTGGATGGATGGATGAATGAATGGACATATGTTCCCTTTGAATCGAGCGGAGACTTACGCTTTTTGTTTGTTTTTACTTCGGATTAAATATACGTCTAAGCCAATTTAATCATATGTACCCCTCTACCCGTCCCTTGATTTTAGTCACAATTCCTCTGATCTTCTTTCACTGAGATACTTCATCAAAACATTTTGTTTCACCCTTCATATCCACTCAAGCGCCCTCCCGCGGTTCTGGCATTCTCTTAACACGACGATAGATCAGACCGGAAATATGTGTCGCTCACCCTTCTTCCCTTCCCCCTTTTCCTGCGTCTCTCCAGAGCTCGGCGTGGCGGCGCCCGCGGTCTGAGCCCGTGGCCACCGCGCCGAGGCGCCCGGCCCGAGCCCAAGGGAGGGAAGGGGCGAGGAGGCGAGGGCTCGAGCTCGGGTGTGCGCCGCCCTTCACGTCACCGGAAAGTTCGCTTCAGTCGGCCGTCACGGTAGCACGCGGCCACTCAGCCGTCCGAGTCGACGACGTCGGACACACGACGCCACCGCGCTCACCACACTCCGGGTGAGTCCGGTCGAGATGTTCTTTTCCCAAGTGTACAAAAAATGCACTCTAAAAAAAAAAAAAAAATTGTCGTCGAAATCGTTGCGTAGAATGTGTTTGAAATGTGATAGCGTTCTGCACCCTCAAATAATCCGTAGATGTTTATTTATTAAACTTCATAGAAACCGCCGTGGAAATTTAAAAAAATATTTTTCGTCGACGCACGCAAACTCTTCTTCCCGATTTAAAACCAATTCCCATAATTTGTTTATCTAACCGTCTACTTCCCACAGACGGGCCGGCCTCCCGCGACTGTAAGTAACAACTTTTGTTGTAGCATTGCAGCCATTCGAATGTTTCCAGTCTTACTGTGTGCATATCAACATAAAAGTCGCAGCTACGCTCCGGCGCTACTGGCACGTTCAGCGGTATCACTTGGCGAAAGAAATGTTACCGTGCAAGTACAGCCGGAGTGCAACTGCGATTTTTACGTTACCGCCGGGTTCAGCGTCAGGCTCACAATCTGGGGAGGTTAAGGGTCAATTCCCCTTGGGGAGCGTTTCAAAATATAATTTATTTTAATAATAATTCTAATAACTATTTCCATCAATTATGGTGGGGGGCCAGAAAGGAAAGAAAGCTGCAGTAGGTAGCAATTGACTGGTCCTCGGGCCCCTTAGACTCTCCCATGAAGGCGTATACTCCTTTCGTTGGTATACAAACTGATGGACGGATATGGGAAAGTGCGCAGGGTTCGCTCATAGACGCTATTGCATCAACAAAACAAATAAAACACCCAAAAGTTTTTATTTATTTTTATTTTTAGAACACGAAGATCATCATTCGCAGCAAAAACCAGAAGGATACGAGCGAATCAGTAACCGTCATTAGCTGGTGTTGCCTTCCGCGATTCGTTGTCCCTTACATGTTCTCCAGGAAAGTGACCTTACAGACCTCCTTTTCAATGTATTACGTGAATGTTTAATACCCGTTGAATAATACCTCGCGTCCTTCCCCCGGAACCGAAAATGTAATTCGACCAGCAGCCGCTAGCTCGCGTCTTTAAAAGAATAATCGAATTACTTATAACACAGGCCGAAGGACGCTCAGCATGGAGCCTCGATATGAGATATCTTCTATATAAGCATAATACGATCAGCTTTATACTGTTGTTACCGCAGGAGCTGTAGAGACTTTTGCGAAGCACCTGCGAAACTGACGAAATGCCAGATGCCGCTTCCAATGTAGGCTGCGGGTCACTCGGAACGCCAACCACTGCAACTTACGGAGCAATACCTCGGCGAACCACGAGGGTGAAAACATAACTTAGACCTGAAACTGAAGTCTGCGATGCTACACGATTCGTTCTTGGGCGTTCGGACTGGCAAATGACGCCACCTCGATGGCCACGGAGCAATAAATAAGTTGCTCAGTACGTGCCCCGTCCTGTATCTCATTAAGGACTTTTAGTAAGCCGTACACGCTAGAGCTTCGCCTTGCTAACGCGGGAGCTCGCGCCGCCACTTTGAAGCATGCATTTGAGCACGCGCTCGCTGGGACCGCTTACCGCAGCGTACGTATACGATCTACTAAAACTCTCTATTAGGCTGCTGGTAATGCGAAATTCGCTCGTAACCCTGATTTTTCACGTCCCATCCGTGTCTTGCGCCGGTTCGTCGATTTTCCTATCGCGTTTGACGTACCCACCGAAAAAAAAAAGCAAAAAAAAAGCAATGTGTCTTATATTTTCACACAACATTCTCAGAACCAACCGCTAAACGCTCTGCGAAGTAACCACAACATATACCCTCCCCTCCTTTTTTTTTTTTTTTTTTCTCACAAAAATACAAAAGAAAGCTGTTTAAATTTAGTTATTAGAATCCCGCGATGTGAGACTTTCAGAACGGCAGGGAGGTCCTTCTGTTTCCCTACCCCAAGCGCGAGACCTTCAAAAACACTTCGACATCTCGTGTGCTTTGAGCGTGCGCACTTTCTTCGTATACGTCCCGTGCATTGCCATTGGTGACGAGATGTTTCGGTGGCCCACTTTTATGGTTCCGCGTCCCGACCAAGACGATTAGCAGCGAGCGACATGTTTGATGGTGCGTAAAAAACGCGGTGAAACCGTAATCACCACGTTCATGAACCAACACCATCACAGTTGAGAGCTCTTATTTCCGTCGACGAGAGCAGAAATAACCCTCTCAAGGCATCATAGAGAGCGTTTGGCCAGTCGCCGAAGACCGACCACAGCGACGCTTTTGATCGCGCACGTCGCCAGTCGGAATCACGGATATTTCGCCAACTCGCAGTCGTGCCTAGTCAAATACTGGGGATCGACCTCCGTAACTATGGGGATCGGCCTTTATAACTATGTTCTCAAAGTATTATTGCATAATTTCCTCTCTAATCATGCAAAAAAAAAACACATAAATAGTCCAGAAAATTTTGTAAAAAAAATATGTAGCCTAAAAATCATTTTTTGACAAACGTGTCTCAACCAAAATGCTTAAAAAATTTGTTCTTAAATCTTTTTTAGTGGCTTTGTAATGTCTTCAAGACCAAACTCTTGGTAGCCCTCGCTTAATATTGCTGCCAGGCAAAGAGTAGTTGCTCCCTCTCTAGGCTTTGCTTAACTGTGTCTAACAAACTGAGATGAGATACCAGAAATGTGAACAGCATAGAACCTGCCAGCGAAGCAAAACGAAAGGGAAAGGCTGCCGCTCTCGAAGGCGGTGGCACATGAATTTAGATCTGGTAGCGACCCCTGGTAATCATAGGTTGTCTATATCTTCTTCCTTTCTATCACCTGCATGCACGGATCGTCATATGGTAGTAGCTTCTAATGTTCATAGTGACCGTATCTGTACTAACTAAACAATCCCGACAGCTATCTAAAAAAGGGGATGCGACACTCATAGAGCTAAAAAGAGTGGCGTCACGTGTCCAACTCGGCCAGTGAATTGCCCTTTCGTTCCCACTTTCCGTCGAAGAAAAATTGCCAATGCAGCTTAAGAGAACCTTGAAGGCACTTACATATCAACAAGAAAAACATATATAAAAAAGGCGAAATTGGGGAAGACGCGAACACTGCAGAAAAACGAAAGCAAACGCCGAAGCTGCCCGATGCTATCAGAACTGATAGATTCAACTCATATCATTCTACGAGATCTGGAACGTACATTGGGTTTCGCAAATATATAGAAGTGCAAATAGTAAAGACGGAGATTGGGAGGTTTCAACGAGCCTAGCTAATTAGCTATCGTGTAAAGGAAATTGTTTGAAGAACAAAATTCATGCACGCTTATTGACGTAGTCGGCGGGCTGTCGCTTTGAAATGTTTTTTTTTCCCAACAAGTGCTCTATTATAACGCACGGAAGACTATTAAAACGTCCTATATATGTTTGTTAATCTCATGTTTGAGACAGCCTCGACTTCTTTAGTTTACTAAGTAAGCAAACTGAACGTGCGGAAGAAGTCTTTAGCACATTATACTATAAATACTATCGATCTATAAGTTTTGCCGAACAACGTGTGGACTCGAGAACCAATAAATACTATAATCATGTTACAAAAAAAAAATATTTAAGTGAAAAATAAAATAACAGAGACGCACTGGTTAATTTGACGAAACCATATATGTTAAATAAATTGTATTGCATTTATAAAAGCACATAGAAAGCTTTTTATATAAAAAAAGACTGGAAATAAAAATACCTATTTTCTTAAAATGACGTTGAATTTTGTACTTTTGGCTATTCTTCTCGTGTTTACAGAGTTGATTTCTTTATATAAACTATACCTAAATTAACAATGTTATAATTTTTGAATAGGCTTAGATACGAGCTTTCATTTAATACGTTTCTTATGCCATAATTATTTGCACATCGAAAGCTAGCTCTACTAAACTTGGCCCATTATTTTCAAAACTGCAAGATTCAAAAAATGTATTTAATAAAATAAATTATATAAAAAAACACTTTTACTTAACTCTGACCCTTCTATATAAAGTAGCAGTAAGAAGCCTTACAATTGTTGTGAAAAAGATAATCTAAACGTTGCGAAACTCAAAAATGTGTCACCAGCGAAAACTGCAAAAGTCGCAGGACGTACCTTCTGCCCTTTCGAAGCCCAAAACTCACGAACAAAACAATTTCCGTAGTTGTAATTCGCAGTTTCGTTCTAATCACACACACCCATCACTCGTTTCTTGCACGATTTGATGTAAATCACCCCAATCTTATGACAAACACGGACGCAAAGAACTACAACAAGAACATCTTACTGCAGTGGATCAAACGTGCGACCAGATCTCCAGACTGTCGAGATATCTGCTGCCACCACTTGAATGGTCTACGCCTTGGTATAACAAACAGAAAAAAAGTTTCAAGCTTGCGCTTTCCATTTTTTTTTTTTTTTCTTCACGCGCCCCTAAAACAATTTTGTTTTTAACGAGATTTTCACATCTGGGGATTAGGGGCTTGAAGAGATCGGCAGCCTTTCACTGGAAAAAAGCCCCCTCAATCACATTTTTCAAACCCCTCAAAAATTCCCAAATACTGCTGGAACATCAACAGCGCCTGTTCCGATCGGATCACTACTGATATCCAATGCCTTCCTCCAGCTCTATATCCAGCGCACATTCCCCGAAAAGCGCCAGATATCAACTCCGCAAGAAAGAAGAGAAAACAACAATGAAAAGATGCCAGTCAGCTGGCTTACATTCCTGCACAACAGCTGCCAAGCGCTCGCGAATCACGGTTACGGTTTCCCGCACTATTATACGCCGGTTGCTACGACGTAATGGGCCTATCGTCTTTCTACCTCCGTTAGACAATAGACCGCGTTACCCTATTAGGGAAAATACAAAAGATATCCTGTTCTTCCACCTACAGAGCACGCCACAAAAAAACCAAACTATGGTCACCGAATACCCCATATAACGTAAATTCATTGTTCATCGCTATTCTTAGCAGAGATCCAAGCAAAAAAAAATAAAAAGGAATAACGGGTTTGGTCA